TGTACCCAGTTTATAACTCATTACTGTGCCTTGCTAGGATGCTACCTGAAGCCTTTGGAACTGGCTTTTGGGAGGAGTTTGGAAAGGTTTGGAGACGCTGGCTGGATAAGTCCTAGATGCTGTGAGACAAGCTTGATAGGAGATTGTGGTCAGTGATCAGACTACCAGAATGCTGAAAGAAATGTAGCAGATAAGAATCAGGCTCAGGAGTTTCAGCTGGAAAGTCTGTATTGGCAGAAGGATTTCAAGCAATGTATTGGTAATGGTCAGGCAGAATATTTGTCTACTTTTTGCTCATGTCCAGAGATTTTTGTCAGAGACTAAGAGCTGCAGACTAACTAATCTGGCAGAAGAAATTTCAGGCAGTCTAATTTTGAGTTGATGGCATGGATACTATTGGGGGATTTTAGCCAGCTCTATTTTGAAAATCAAGAGCAAACAATCTAGCAGAATGACAGTTTTGAGTCTGGCTAGATAGAAAGCTGTGGTAAAGTTCTGGCTTGCAAAATGGAGCAAAGGAGAAATTGATTGCATCAGAAAAGATCAGCATTAGAAAGCCAAGTATTTTGGAACAGGATTGATGAAAAGATGACAAGAGCATATTATAAAAACCAGCAGGATTCTACTTTTTGCAGGCTCAAAATTGCAAAGGTGAAAGATTTCACTTTGAATAGACAGCCTAGTGGCACCATGCTCCACAGTGGCAGCAACCTAGAGAATGGGAATTCAGTTCACCATTTTCAACCATTCAGGAACGCCGAATGCTCTGCAACTGCCAGAAAGATGCAAAATGGTGCAGCTACTGCTCTCATTAGCAGCAGAACTTAGTGTCATACAGAGTGCTGGTTTTAGGCACAAGTAGAAGCTAGCTGAGTTGTAGGGTCAGGAAGCCTTCCACAAGTCAGGCAGTGTGCCCCTAAGAGGGTAATGTGTGAACCTTGAGAGTGAAGCCAGCACAGTAGAGACTCCAGAAAGCTGGAGAAGCTGAGAATGTCGATAATCTGAGGAAAGCTGCAAGATGGGAGCAAAGCTGGCACAATAGAGCAAAAGAGGGGTACCACCACAGGCAGTGCTTTACATGCAGGTTCACCAAAGGACTTTCAAGCTCAAATCTTGTCACAAGTCTGAACAGGAAACTAGAATTTAATGTTTATTCTGCTCCATTTCAGTTTTGCTTTAGCCTCATTGCTACTCTTACTTCTGCTTCTTGAAATGTGAAAGTATATTCTGTACTATCATGTATTGGAAGTGTCCACCACTTTCATTTTTATAAGGACTCACAGTCAAGAATTTGCCTTAAATCTCAAAAGAAAGCTTGGACATGCAAACCTTTTAGTAATGCTGAAAGTGTTAGGACTTTGGCAACTTTTAAAAATGGACTAAATGAACTTTGTATAAGGGAATTTTCATGAGTCTTTTGGGGACTGAGACAGAAACTAGATGTCCTCCCAAAGACTTGTGCACTCATAGGTAGGGCTTTGGGAGGTGACTGGGCCATGGGCGTACTCATCGCTGCATTGGTTCACTGATTGGTTCACTGATGGGTAGTAGACTATCTTGTATTCATAGAGGATCTTTTTCCTCCTTTCATTGGGTCTGATGTTGGGAGGTGAAGTCTGGTAGAAGGTGAATCACTATGAGTGAGGCATACATACATACATATATGCTTTTGAGGCCATGTTACAAAACCTTCTCTCCCATGCCACCTTGCCTTGGAGCCAAACAACTATGAAACCTCTAAAGCCACGAGCTGAAATAAATCTTTCCTTTTTAACTTGTGGTTGTTGAGTGCTGTGTCTCAGAAATGAGAAAGTACGTAAAACACACTTTTTATGCTTATTTTTCTTTGGAATGAATCATCTCCTATTCTGTTAGAGATTACTGTAAAATTTGAAGTAATATGTAAATCATCAATTTTTAAGGTTAAACTGTACCTTAACCAGATTTCTCAACAATAAAAGCAACTCAGAACACTTTAGTCACCCTTCTCCCATCTCATAAGCTAATGTGTGGTTTTTGCAATTATTTTACTTGAAAATTCCACATTAATGTTGTATAACAATATTTATTTAGCTTTATATTTGTTTACAATTTTTATAAACTTCTTTTATTACGAATAGTTTATACAAGCAATACTTTAAATGTACTTTTATTTTTCATTTTATTTTCTCATTTCGAATCATCTGTTTGGAGTAATTTTCCTTGTTGAACATCAAGCTTTTGGAGATTTCTTAGTGAAGTTCTGTCGGTCAGTTTTGTTTTGTGCAAATTCTAAAGTGAATTCTGAAGATACTCTTCTATATTTTTCAGGGAACTTATTGCTGTTGAGAAACCTCCTAAGTAGTGGACTATCTTGTATTCACAGAGGATCTTTTTACCTTCTTTTGTTGCTTTTAAAAATCTTTTTTGGTATCTTGTCATTCACATATTTGGTCTAGTTGTGGATATTTACATATGTTTTAGACATGATGTGCTTCCTGAATTCTTGTTTTTGTGACAAATGTAGAAAATTCTGTCATCTCTTCAAATACTATCTTTCTCTCTATTCTCTCTTTCCAGTAACCTTAGGCCTTAAAGTTCTCTCCATTTCCCTAACTTTCTAGTTCCTGTTTTCCTTGCTGTTCAATGGCTAATGTCTTTATATCTCGCTTCCAGTTCATTGGTCACTTCAACCACTTCTCTGTAGAATCAGTTATATATTGTTCAACACATTCAAATTTTTTTTCTTATTTCAAAAATGTATTTCTCACCCTTAGGAATTCTATATGGTTCTTTTCAGATCTGCCTGTGGCTCTGTCTTTTATTTCTTATGTTGGTGATGAACAGCCAAAGAACTAAATTCAATGTTTATTTTCTCCAGAAATTATTTCTCATGCTGTACAGTTTCATCTTGTGGATGAGTCACAGTCACAAAATAATTTTACGTAATCATAATCTATGAGAACCTCAGGCCTAAATTAGAAATGTTTTCTGTGAGGAGCTACAAAGTACTACAAACAAGGTAATTAACCATCTCATGTTCACATCTGTCTTCCTGCTTTTGGTTTGAGGCAAACTACATATGGTAGTACTCCTTTTGGTATATGTCATCCAGAAAAACCACATTATATTTGTGTACTTAAAATACTATACATGATTCTCAACTTAAAATATATTCACTTTATGTAGGAGAAAAAAGACAGATGTGTGGTTCTTGAAGATATTTTTATATATCTTTTGCACTTACTCAAAAGTGGACTTTATTCCTGAAATTAGTGGTTTTGCAGAATGTAGTATAACATGCTACTGTAAGCAAAATTTTTATTTAATATAGTAAAATATTTATGATACATTAACCTTAAGAACATGATTTGTCATTCTTTATTAATGTAAGCCTCTTAGGAAAGGTTTCTTAGTCCTTGATCAGAACAAAACATACATTATATTGAAACTGAGAGTATATAAGAAAGGTTTCAGAGGATGAAGTTATCTCAAATGGCAGGAATTTCTCCTAATGCTCTATTACTAAGATTTTGTAGTCAATATTGAAACCATTCAAATGTTTAATGCCCCAAACAATGTGTGATCCAAATCAATAGGACTAAAATCTGTGGTATCTCATTTTTTTAAATCTTTTTAAAATTAGATAATAATAATGAGTTACATGCAACTCTCACCTAAATGTGTAACTTTAATATTGAAAAGTTGGGTCACCTACAATACAAGCAGGGCTAACCAAGGCAGCTGGTGATTTCAAGTTAGTCAGAAATGTACCTAATACTCATTATGGCAGCAGATGTGGCTGCTACTGTCTTAAACGCAAGTGGATTATTTACAAACTTAGAATTCACAGTTGTTGATCAACGTTTGCTGGATGATCAGGAAACTCTGTGCCTCACTCTAATCACTGAAGTAATGAAAGGAGATACCTACAGCAAGGACTGCGACTGCAAATGCTGCAATCATACCTAAAAGCAAAACAAACACAAAACAAATGGAAATGGGATGAGCAAAAGAAAAGCCTAATTGATCTTAGGTGGGATTATAGGTGGGCCTATAAAATAAATACACTGAGACATACACAAACACACACACTTCTAGCATATGTACACATATGTATGTACTAAAAAGCTAATAAAAAAGTAGCAGTAACATAAAAAATTAGATTGCAAACACTGGAAATAATGTCTCTCTTACAGAGCTATGTATATTCAGTCCTCCTAGAATAAGTAATTCCAAATATCTAGGAGAAAAAAATATTTCTAAAGGTTTTTATAAATGTATATACATGTGTATATATAAACACATACAACATACGAGCTATCTTTGGTTTAGCTTAAGCCAAGAAGTTTCAATTGTAGTGGCTTTCAATCATTATAATATAAAGTCATGTATACAGATAGTCAAAAATACAAAAGCCCAAGTCCTACTATTACAAAATCTAAGTATTAGTAAGTTTGGGATGATAACTTTTATTTATTTATTTATTTTATTATAGTAAGTTAAAAAAAAAGATACTGATCAAAATAATCCAGAGAGACAAAAACATAGAGACACAAAGAATTAAAGTTTAACTAAATTTGATCGAATGAGCAACAAGAACTACAACTAAATCTCTAGCTCCTAACTTATTTTTTCCTTTTAAGTTTTAATGTTTCACAGTCTACATGTTCTTTGTCTAGAAAAACATAAAACATGCTAGAATGCTGCACTTAATAAAAAATGTCAAAATCGCCTGCAATTGTAATTCTAAGCATACCAGTTTGAAAAAGATTGGTCTTGCTATACTAAAATTTTACATATTTTTCTATAAAAACACTAGAAAAGTTAATAGGATATTTTATCTTTGAAAGCACTTATTTGTAAACCCTTCTATCTCCAAGGTGTGGCACCATCCATAGTATTCAATAAATACTGACAATCTAGCACTTTTAAAAATAAAAATAAAGTGAAAACAATTTTAAAGTAACAAAACTCAAATCCAAAGTATTATTTTTTCAACATTACAAAATATAAAATACCTATGTTTTGCTGAATTTTCAACATTACTGTAGTTTTAATTGGTTGCTCTGGCTGTTCATCTTCTGTGTTGTTCAATGAAGCCTCACTGTTCAGGGTGGAACTCATACAAGCTGCAAGAAACAATAATGAATTTTTTTTCAATGATCCAATCAAAAATATTAATATGGTCATGTATTTAACACACCTAAACACACTTGCTGTTGTATCCTTTAAGGCACTTTTTTTTTCTTCTCTTTATTACAACAAAATTTACACATTTTGGGTTTTATTGCTCCCATAGATCTTATTACTTTTTTTGTAAGAGAATAAAATCAAACCTGATAAAACAAAGCTGTCAGTCAAAATCAAGGATAACCATAGCACATGATGTAAAAACAGAGTACAAGGTTATCAACAACGGTTACCATAATGCCTCTTGCTTCCTTAAAAAGAATCATCTGTCTCATTAGGTATTATAAAGTTAAACAAAACAGTAGAGAACAAGACCAATAAAACCTAAACATTGTCAACCTTACAGAACTTCAAAAGAGGATAATAGTCAAACCAGAATGGGCATCAAAAAGAATTAGCATTTTAGAGTTTTAAAAAATATAATAGGGAAAATATACAATCAATAACATATTTCTCCCAGTAATTTTTTATAAGATAATGAATTTATTCATTTCTGAATGTAGGTGAATTAAATGTCATGGAATATATGTCAGACTCTCAAAAATTAGTATTTTACCACTGACCTAAAGCAGACCATAGATCAAATACTGAATGACTCCCAGCATTTACACAGCCTTTGAGTTAAAAATGAGTTATAAAAGAATAAATATGAAAGAGATGTTATGCTGACCACAAAATATTTACTATTTGTTCAACAGGAAAAATATTTTAGTGATTCTTGGTCAAACTTGAAATTTGAAACATGTAAGCAAAATATCGTACACTTGACCTTAAAACAACTCATTTTTGCTGATGAACGAATTCTAGGGCCTTAAGTCCATAACTGAGGGTCATGGCAGTTAACTGTAGATTCAAACAAATTCTCTAATTCAGTACATTGATAGCAATTTACATTCATTGGCCTATCCAAATTTATTTAATTCTGATTAAACAAGTGATCTAATATCCTTAGAATCACACTGGCCAGTCTTTAATTTTTTTCCCAGTGCTAAGAACACCTATAAAAAATAAAAATGGATAGAAAATTACCATATACAAAATACATGAAAGTAATACTTCTCAGGTGAAAGCTGGGATGGAACATTCCTGGAGTCTGACCAGTTCCTTTCTTTTACATACTCACCACTCCTGAAGTGGAAGCAGAGTACTGTCCCATAGAAGTCTAGGTAACTAAACCTAAAAACAACTACTTCACATGGATTCTTTCACTTACACTTACTCAAAAGAGACAGATATAGAGCAAATGTGACAGAGATAGACAGATAATACTACTGCTTAAAGTGAAATAAGCTACCATTCAATATAAAATATCTCTATAAACATCTTTGCACCCCATTGTACTAGCGCAGGCTCACAGGATGACACAACTCACTAAAATTGGATTAAGAGGCGAAAATTCTTCATTAATGTCCCATGAAGAAACGTTTACTATTTATTTTACAGAAATGATTACTCCATTAGAATCAAGGGAACTACCATACTTTCCCCCCTTCTTTGGGAACTGAGCCAAAGTTCTTTAAAAACGGATTGAATAAAATCTTTTTTTGGGGGGAGAGGGGAGGTTACTAGGATCAAAAACAGGGGTCTAGTGCATGCCTGCCATACTTTTAAACACATTACCCCTCAGCTACACCCATAGCCCTTTTCTCTTTTCACTTTTTTTTTGCTCTCACAGCGAATCAGTCACAAAGACTAGCAAATTCATATTACGAGATATTTATATGATATTCAGTATTTTCATGGTTTCCAATTTTTTCAAGGGCTATAACACCTTAGTTCTGGATTATTAATCATCCAACAGTTTCACATTTTATCCAGCTTCAATATATAGGTCTAAAAGTTGAATAGACGACACAGTTTTATTCATGTTACGCAAACAACTCCTATAAGAAAATATCTTTGCTAAATGTTTGAAGCCAATAAAATATTAACATCAAATAAAAGTAAGGGACAAGTTATGAATAATACTTATTTGTTGTAAGAATTTTTTTAGTGGAATATCGATATATACTGCCACAAAAACATTGTCATCATATGACTTACACATTTGATACTGAATTGTTACAAACATAAATTATTTTGTTATGTTACTTGCATACTTTATATTGAGTTGTTACATAGGAAGAGCATGCTGTAATAAACCTGAGCACAAATAATTTTAGAAAAGATAGTCTCCTCCCTGTCACTTATAAATTTATCATATGTGTTAGTTACTTTTCTTGTTGCTAAGACAAAATACTTGATACCTAAAGTTAAAGGTAGGAAGGTTTATTTGGCTTACAGTTTGCTGAAATTTCAGTCTCATTGGCTCCCAGGCAAGGTGACAGGTGGCAGAGAAGTAACAATTTGTTGTGGGAGGCAAGGTGACAGGTGGCAGAGAAGTAACAATTTGTTGTGGGAGGGAAGGTAGTAAAAGCCACAAGGGACCTTAATAGTGTCTTTTGCACCTTTCATCTGATGCAGACTACTCAGGACGGTAGCACTCATACCCTTTAATCCTACTGCCCTTGAGCCTAGTACTGCACCGTGAATCAATTTCAGTGTCACACGCTCTAGAACCACCCACCTCTGAAAAAATCCCACCTATGACCACATGAGGCTTTGGGGCAACATCTAGACATAAACCATAACATCATACAAAGTCATGTGATTTGACAGAGATTTGAGAAAGTTTCACAAAAGTTGAATATTTTTCAAGGATTAGTAAGGCCTGCTAAAACAACTGTCACTCTGACTTTGTTAAAGGCTTAAAATTTCAACTCCTTTGTCATTTTACCAATATTTCATCCAAAATTTAGAAGTAACGGAATTCAGTAGGAAATTCAATTTTAACCATATTCTTAAAACCAAGTAATTTTAAAAATTCACATAATTTCCAAATTAATTGTAGAGGAAAGCAACCTTCTTGAAGGAGGAATAAAAAGGGTTATTATACATATAAAATTGTAGACGTATTCAGATTTTATTCCAACTGCTAATGGGTACATAGAACTATTTGGGAGCTTAAAATGAAATGTTAGAATTCAAACTTTATACTTAGTTGTTTTCCCTACCCCTGTGTCATTACATTTATCACTGAAGTGATTTAACCATTAACTACACATAAAAAATTAACTTTGGCTCTAACACTGACGCAGAATTGACAAAGCTAAGTTTCACCAGATTTTAAAGGCACATCTTCAATGTTTTTTTATGATACTACAGATAAAATAAATCTATATTATTAAGTTAATGTATATTATGAGATGACTAACACATGTTAAGAAATTTTAAAGCCAGAGTTATACTTCTTCATAAGTGAGTCATTTTGACAAATTGTTCTTCATCCCTTAAGTCGTTTACCAGTATGTTATTTTAAGATATATACTTGGCAAAATACATATTTTAAACATAGCAACTATTTAGTAACTATAACATAGAAGAGAAATAATTATCACACTAATAATTTCAAATTGTACTTAGAAATAAAACAAGATACTTACAAGTTTGATGCTCCTGAATGTAAACTTGATTTTAATCTTTAAATCTAAATTATTTTTTGTGATTTATTTTATATATAAACTCTAATTTTAAATGTTTAAGAAAATCTATGCATATTATAAATTCTTTTTTCAGATTTTAACATTAGTTTTAAATATAATCTAGAAATTAATTTAAATGTTTCTTTAATAATGTATTAATATTATCCTCTATTCATATGTCTTTCTTTGTCAGGGATCGAACTCACGACTGCCTGCTTGCAAGGCAGGCGCTTATGCCGCTGAGCTAAATTCCCAGCCCCAGAAAGAATGTTTCTTAACATTTTCACCAAACTGTCACATCAATTCTAAGAAAATTTGGGGCTTAGAAAGAACTTGCTGTACCATTACAAGTGGTAGACCTGGACTCAAGCTAAACTACTAGAGTGATACTTTGGTTGTTTAACTCAATTTGTTCCAAATTCATGTTTACACATCAAAATGTTTGAGAAAAGAATATAATTTTCCCATGAGAAATCATGGAAATTCAAATAACTGATTCTGAGGCCCAAAATTACACTTAGAAATTCATTGTCTAGGATGTGAACAAAGTTTTGCAATGATTTTGTTAACTCTGCTGTAGTTCTCACAGTTTTCTCACTTTACTGCTTGTATTACTGACTTTCTTTGGAACCATAGTTATGATCTTTCACAGAAAGCACACATTCACAAAAGCAAAGTTTAATGCATTAACACAAACACTACATATTATAAGGGCAAAAGCAGCTCTTAGACTGAAGCATCACTTCACTGTTTCCTTGGTGAGATTCATGACTCATTCTCTGCCTGAATAAGTTACTGCAATTGGAGTTTCTGACTGACTATATTGAGTAAAGTCACAAACACGAAGTGGATTTTTTTCTTCTTTTTTGAGCTTTGCTGTTTGAGTAGTAGGGAATTGTAGCCTGAAATCATTTGACAACTGAGATATGACTGTATCTTTATTAAAATCATGGCATCTAATATCTCTGAGTCAACAAATAAACAAGTAAGCGAAATACAATTCTAAACCAATAGAAAGTTTATGTTAATGCACTTAAGATTTTTATTAAAATTTATTTTATCGTATTTCATAATGTAGAAAGGAATTCTCTACTGAAAATACACTAAATTACCAAATTGTTCCTTCCATTTCAATAAATATTTATTGAAATAAAACTATAATACAATTCTAAACAAGTTATATTCTTGCTTATATCTCAAACCAGTGTTCAGTTTCTAAAAAGCCCAGCATTTTTCCCTAGACTCACCCTTCAAAATCAACTTAGATGTCACTTGCTCTGAGCTGAATCCTTTACATAGTGTCTTTGCTAAATGTTCTAAAATTCTGCCCATTCTTCTATTATAGACCTAATCACCTTGTCTTATATCATCTATTTTAATTACTCACTGTACTTTAGAACCATATCTTTAATCCTCAATGCATAAATAGGTAATAAATAAATCACTCAGCTAATGGTCATGTAATGTCAAAAACAGAACAGAGTCCCTAGAAATAGCATAGCTACCATACACTAAGATGGTAGTGTCTTTAATAAATTACATGATTTTTTTTAAAAAGTAGGTACTATCAAGAAATGTACAATATTATATACATATCTATACCTAAACTTTCCAAATTGCCTGTTTTATTATACTATTATATATTAAACTCATTAGAAATAAAAATAAGCACAGCAAAACAAACAAACATAAACCCCAAAAACAGTTTTCTAAAAATGTCAGGTCAGATGTGAAAATGAGAGGGGAGGAAAATGTGTTAAGGCAAGTGAATAATGTGGACTATTGCCTATAAAAACAACTTTGATCTTATTTTTGGAACTTCCTATTTCACTTTCATGCCTTCAATATATGATAAGACTAATAAAGAAAATGGAAAATTATATGGAGAACACATTTAATACATAGTACTCAAAAAACTTTATGACATGATGCTTAATCAAACAAGATGAGCTTTGAGAAAATCTTTCTCCTATATTAAAATAAATACCTGAAAGGTAAATAAGTTCACATAAATAAATCTGACTTGGCTTTTGAAGATTTCTTTCTAGGTTTGAAAAAATATGAAGTAAACAAATTTTTGGTAGAATTTCCAAGGAAAATATTCACTGTATGTATATATATGTAGAAATGAATCAGTGACATTTTTAATTGCTTTGGTTATTATTTTGGAGTGTCAAACAGAATTAAGTTTAAGGAAATATGATAGGACATTCAAATCAGATATCTTAAAAGTAATTTTAACTGTAATATAATCAGTTTAATTACCTGTGTTTATTTCCTCTACAATTTCCAAATGTTCTATTTGAATCACCTGATCTAACATCTCTATAAAATGGTCTTTGATTTCTTCAGCTGATTCATCACCAAATTTATAATCACATAACATTACAGTGGATCCAGGAATGGGTACAAAAACTCGGTGAGGGAGGATGTGGAATTCTTTTTCAGAATCTAAAAACAGAATGAACATTAGTCCATTATTATATATCAGTGAATATACATTTTAGTATAAAACCATCTATAGGAACAAAAAAATAGTAGTTTTTCACCTTCTTGGTGAAAAATGACATGGCAAAAAAACTGCTCTTACTGCATTCAACTTTGCACCTCTACAAGGGACACGGATACTCTTAAAAAACTCACAAACTTATCATTGCTTCAATGTAAAAATTTTGATACACACTGTTACATGAATCCTTGTCCTATGATGGAGTACTCAAGAGAGAATTTTATCTATGGTCTATAAATTGTTCATTTTAATTTTATAAAACATTGTGACTTTTACAGCTGACTTCTGTTATTCACATACATTTGAGTCCAAGGGCCTACCTACATTAAATATATAAGACATGACAGCACACATCATTTTTGTATCAGTGTCACCACTGACTTCATGATACTAGATATAACGCTTTCCAATGTCAAGCACCTTCAAGACATCAAGATACACATTTTGTGTACCAACCTCACTACTAACTGTATCTTTTTTCTTTTCTATACTCCTTTTGCCTCAACACTTATTTTTGTCTCATGTACTTGTATAGTAATCTTTTTGTAAACAGCCTTAATATTTAGAAAAAAAATCTGAATTTAAATAAATTTTTCATTATTCTTTGGATACTTTTAAATTGGAATATATTCCCCCAAATTCTTACATAAAATCACTGGATACCTCTATGATTTTAATGAATTATTAGAAAAATAGAGATTTTGGGTAAAGAATGACCTTGTAAGCAATAAATATAATTTAAAAGCTAATAATAAAATCAGGTAGAAAATCTGCTCACTTTAATAGTAACCTATATTTTTTCTATCAATAATCTAGTGGTTAAGCTTATATACTTAAAAACAGAAGATGAAAAAAGTCATAAATGTCATGGAGTGCAATGACTTAAATTATGTATTATTCCTGCCAAATTTTGTGTATTAACTTGTTTGCTTGAGAACCAAGAGAATAATTTTAGTCTTTGACTTGAGTGCCTCCTAGCTGTATAATAACATTACTGCAATTTGTATTGCAGCATGCAAACTCTACACACTGAAACTGGAATTATATCATTTTATTTTGGGACACACTTAAAAAATAAATTAAGTTAAAAAATTCTAAGATGACTGTACGGTGCATATGTAATTGACCTTCAGCATTTTAAAACCACTTTGAAAGACGCTGATTCTAAGTTTGCCTAAAACAAAAAAACTCATGTTATAAAATCACATGTTAAACATTACCTGGAATAAACATAAATTACTCATTAAAAATATAAAACACTTATAACTTTCAAACTAAAAAGTTAAATGAGCAATTTAATATCGCAATATCAGGTTTGCTTGGTTTGAGTTTAAAAACCGGAGATATCTTTTTGAAGAAATATTATCTCAAATAATATTTCAAAGAAACTCTAGGGTTCCTCCCCACAGAAAAGTACACAGTTCAACATTACATGAATAAGTATAAATCATTTTCTATTTAAGCAGTTTTTATGATAACTGGATTTCAGCTGGTTAAAAACAGGATCGTACTTTTTTTTTTTTTTTTGGTTCTGAGGATTGAACTCATGACTTCTTGTTTGCCAGGCAGGTGTTTATGCCACTGAGCTAAATCCCTAGCCCAGCCCCAGGATCCTACTGCATATCACAGTATTACAGAAACTTCTGTAGAGTAAGTGCTACCTGAGCTCATTCTCAAAATATAAGCAGGCAAGCCCCATACAATGCAGAGCATAACACATGTTCTGGGACAACAAGTATATAAATGAATGCAGATAGGGATGAAAGAAGGAGAGAGATCTCATAATAAAGAAGAATACTGCTCAAGAAAAAGGAAGTAACGATTAATATCATGAAAGTCACCACATAATCACAACCAAATAGCAAAAATAAAAGTTCACCGAGAAAAAGCTGCTAGGGCAAGATATGAGATGAAATTTCATATATTTCCTTCTCCCAAGTTTTAAATCCACAGCTATAAGATTCAAATCTGTACATACAGTAAATAAAATTTCAGGTTTTTTTGTGAATTACTTAATCTTACAATCTCAAGGTTCAAATATACTAGGAATGTAAAAGAGGTTAGACAGCTGAGAAGAATATGTAACTTACAGTTTGTAAGTACTGTCTCGAAGGAATGTATTCTATAACACCTAACTATAATATTATTACTTTAATTACAGCTACTTTAAAAAAACACTCAGGTAACAAAAAATATGAACTTTAAACTGCCAAGTTTACATATTCTACAGGGAGTATTTACTCAGAAATAATTTTTTAAAATATCCTCCATGAAATTGTTAAACACTGTCAGACGTGCCATTATGATATGCTCAAAAAAAATGGGGTAGTGAGTAACAACTGAAAAATGCTTTCAATAATATGAGAGACAACTGGTATAAAAACCACTGTAAAAGATGGCATATCTGTTACAACTTGACATCTTACTATATCAAATGGAACCATATGCCCTCCAAAAAGTACTTATTTTATACTTATAACTTGTTTTTCTGGAACTTCATTCAAATGTAGATCGTCAAATAGTATTTCACAGCGATCAGCAACTGTATTCAATATATCTCTCTTCATTGCCTGGGGGGGGGTGACACAAGCAAAAAACAAAAGAAGAAATAAAATATTTTAAATGTATGTATTGATACTCCCCTGAAAAACACGTAATTTCCCTGTCAATGAACATATCCACTAAAAGTTAATATATCAATCCATTTACTTAGCATGTCTATAAACACATTTATAGCTTAAAGACAAATATGCCTATATCTCATCTAAATAGTAAATTAAAAACAAATACATGCATGAAATTTTGAATTTAAATAAATATTGCCAATACTCCAGATTAGGAAGTTTATAATTATGATAAAAATGTAAGTGGTCACTTAAAGAAACTCCTCTGTTACAGAACAGTATCTAATAATTCTATTTATGCATACTTTTCCTATTTAAAAGATTCAATTTCCTCCAAAAGAAATGATTTCAAGACAGGTGTGGTAGTGCATATCTGAAATCCCAGCCCCTAAGAGACAGGCAGAAGCTCAGAGCCATCCTGAACTACATACAGACCCTGCATCAAAAGCTAAAAAAAGAAGGAAGTGACATCAGATACACAAAAGTGTTATAACTGTTATTTACTAAACCTGCATAATCATAACTTTAAAAAGGCACAAGATAGATATCTATGTATGAAAATCTTGGACCAAATTACATGATCCAAGATATATACAGAATGTCCAACAGATTGGGCCATCTTCAATTAAACAAATTATAATTATAAAATCTGAGGTTCAGAAAGACAAAATATTAGAATATTTGAGTAGTTATGTGAATGCAGTTCATTTTCATATGCCAACAATTCTTTGTACCTGCACAGCATCTTTAACTTTGGGTTTATTGCTATGAATGTAAGCTCTGCATTTCACATCACCCTTCAGATTTACAGAACCGCTGCAGATTTGCACTGTGGCTGTGGATCTGTGGTCTGAATTCAGGAGCTGAAAGATAAAATCTGTTGAAGTCTTAACTGCTAATGATATTAGGAGACACTACATAAAGTCATTTTACGGAAAGAGCAATTTCTGACTGATACAAGCATTTGAAAACATTCCCATCAATTATTAAAAGACTTTCATATTTTTCTTCATAAACTTCATTTTTCCCTGAGCATTTTGAATGTCTACTAAAATCAAACCCTACTATATTAAAATGCTTTATTCACTAATATAAACATTTAAAACACCAATATTTATTCAATGTACTAACTAAAAATACATTATTTGCAGAATACTTAGATTAATATTGTAAAGATAAAAAGATGTACAGAGACATGATATACAGGAGCCACATAATATGCAATACAAGAACAGTACAAAAACAAAAATACAAGTAGGATGTGGTAAATATGGTAAAATTACAACCAATGCAAAAGTCTGTTTGTTTATATACTTTAAACCTATAACTTCCATATGCTAAAAACAATGCTAAGTTTTGTTTACGTAAAAACAACATGTCAACTATGACTGTTACCAGAAAATGTTACTAACGGTTTCAAATGAATTAAATAGTTATCATTTTCATTTCATAGTCCCATTTTCTTTAGCTTATGGTATATTCATTCCTGCTTGGTTTTCAGGTGTTTCACAGAAATTTTTAACCTTTTACTTTGTAAGTGCCTAAACAGAAAGAAAATGTACACATGGAAGGTACTAGTAAAGACTTCATGGAAACAAAAATAGTGATTAAAAATAAAACAAAACAAAACAAAAACTGGACATGAAAAGAAAGTAATTTACATTCTACATACCCTTTCAACAATAGGTCCATTCTGAAGAACAAAAAGCAAATTATACAAATTGTCAAAGTGCTATAAGGCTACAAGCCTATGCAATTAAGAAGAAATGAAGAAAAACTATAAAATGGAAGGACTTGAATGTAGATATTGAAAGAGCATGAGTAGCTAATTTCTATTGTAATTCAAAGGCTAGAACTACTTAAACATTCAAATTCAATCAGTCTTGTTAGTAAAAGAATTTATCACAGATCAAACAGTTCAAAAGGTTCCACATTCATTTAAACAACATTTACCACCAAATGAAACAGTAGGATGACAATGCTAATAGTATATTTGGAATTAGTTTCACATAACATTTGCACAGTCCATTGATACATGAATAAGGTAAGGGTGCAAGAGAATAACAGGCCTCGCTCACTCATACTACATACAAGTCTTTACTATTGATGAAACTACCTTACTTGGAAAATGATCTACTTTAAATATTATCACATAGAACATATTTATAATACATATGTATAAGATAGGGCAGTATTTTCCAAATTATGTTGGACTACACACATATACACATTCAGGAAAATAATTTTAAATATGTAAGAACTGACTGAATTCTTTTTAGCTGAAAATATAGTTGAGATCTATAAATGTAAATTTCTCTTGGTTACATGGATGTACAAATAAAATGGCTTACAAACAGCTTTTGGGAATCTAATTTGTTCATAAGGAGGGAACTCTGTGACACTGATAAGGTATTTTGGAAAAGATCACTTGGGCTGTGGTGACCAAATGAAACCTGACAGAAGTAGTGGCATTCTGGGACAGATCCTCATGTACAAGTAGGATTTTGACTGGGCAAACAGGAAAAGATGGCACTGTCAAAAAATATACACAACTTTAAAAGCCTATCAAGGAAACATCTAGAATGCTAACAGCTATGCTGAAACTACGAAGAGTGTTGAATTTAACTTTCCTAAGCAGTCAATGTATAGGATTAATGGAATTTGAAGAAGGACAATAACAAAATCAATGTCTGACCCATATACAAACAAGTACCTTTCTGAAAAAACAATGAATATAAGTAAATGAATGTAAAGTATCACTCAGAAAGGACAACCCAATGTTATATACAGGATAAAATAGCAATATGGAAAATATTCCATGCTACAAACAACCATGTAAGGGTTTTTACCACTTTAAGAAACAACGTGTATGTCAAAAGGGACCAGGTTCAAGAGTTATATAGGCTAATCTAGGTAAAATCTTCCTGTTATAAAGCGAATGACAGTGGGAACTATAAGAAAAAAAGATATTTTACTGTAAAGAAAAAAAGTATTTCTTTTCTACAATAGACATTGTTTCTTTTAAAAATTCTAATTGGATGACTAGTGGAATAAATAACAAAAGGTATTAAATACTATTACAAGTATTCTTACAATATTTCCCACTCTTCTGTCTATATTCCCATATTTTACACATCTCCTAACTGCAGTTTTTATCACTGAAGTAATTTTAAGCAAATTCTTTAATATATCACAAAATCACTCAAATAGTAAACAGCATGAACATTCTACAATCAAAATAAAAATAGAAAATGACATCAAAAATACTTTCAAGGTATTGGTTAAAAAAAACAAAAACAAAGGGACCATATTTTTTTTTTTTTTTGTCTTTTTCCTTTTTATCGGTACCGGGGATTGAACTCACGACTGCCTGCTTTATAAGGCAGGCGCTTATGCCGCTGAGCTAAATCCCCAGCCCCAAAGGGACCATATTTTGAGAGGCTTAAATTCGATGATAGCTTTATAGTGCTCTTAAGCGTTAAGCAATAAGATAAAGAAATTTTAAAAACTTTATGAGTCAAACTGTCTTTTATTCTACTTTATTCAGTTAAAAAACTATAAGCCCTTGTAATATTTTCCCATTTTAAAGTCCAGTATGATACTGAAATGAAAAGTTTCCAAAACACATGGTTATATTCTTGTTCCATTATAAATATTTAATAATCAAACACATGTAAATTTTTAGAAATAATTAGTTTTAATACTTTTTTCTGCTTTGAATTTTCAAAGATTTGCATAATTTAAAGCAACCATACAGAAATATGAATCTTAAAATTCATCATTCATCAAATCCAAGGGGCATAAATCTACCTTAAATTGAGTATTTGACAATCCTTGATACGTCTGTACATATACCTTTTACTTTTAAATTGATAAGAATTATAACTTTATTTATAAAACATACAACTCAAAACATTTAAATAAATGCATACCTACACAGGCATGTTTACTCATGTAAGTGTCTTTAAAACAGCTATCTACTTGAGAGCCTTGAGGTAAAAATCTTTAATAGATTTTAACAACATTTCTTGAGAGAAGCTTTTTGTAACTAGATATTTTATACAACTTCTTTTATCTCTGAAATTCTTTCATTTTCTTATAAACAGATACAAATAATTTTATTCTTGTTATTCTAAGAAGCAATGTATTTTAAAATATTTACCAACTGTGTTAGCACTCGGACATCAAAAGAATGATTAGGTGCTTGAGTATGTCCTTTAGATTTTTTCTAAAAAGAAACATACATAACACACAGGAGAGTTAAAAAGTCAGACTGTTGAAACTCCAACTGCAACATAAAAGACAATTAGGAACCACCTCACAAATGCTAAGTCAAAGAAAGAAAAAACAATTCTTACTTATTTTAACTCAGTTTTTTAATAGATATGCTACTTTATGTCAGTCAAGATGTACTATTAAACACAAATTCCTACTTTTTAATTCCTTTAGATTAAAAACTGGCAAACTATTGCCTGTGAGCCAACTGCACATGACCACCTCTCTGTGTAATAAAGTTTTACTGGAATACAACCATGATTAGTCATATACTATCACTAATGGCTACTTTCACTCCATGACAGCAAAAATAAATAGCTGTATGGTCTGCAAGGTCTTATTTTTGGCTTTATTATTTGGCTTTTTACCTAAACTTTGCTGATTGTCAAACTTTCTCTTCATTCAAGCCAAAGTCATTGTAGAAGCCCTGCTACTACGGTAGAACAACATGGGTCTTTTTAAGTATGTAGTTTACAATTTGGAGATAGATGGAATATAGATGACACACCCAACTGAAGTTGCAGCATTCCAACTACATCAGAAATAATTTCCTGTCATCATTTTCAGAGAAAATATTTGTCCTTAAATTTCAAAGACCTGGGGCTGGGGATTTAGCTCAGCAGCATAAGAGCCTGCCTTGCAAGCAGGCAGTTGTGAATTTGATCCCCGGTACTGATAAAAAGCAAAAAGACAAAAAAAAAAAAAAAATATTCAAAGACCTCAGAAATGAATACACAACGGCTGTTTTCATAAAGGTAAGGACTAAAGATCTATCTTTTTTTTCCCCTTAAGAATAAATTGTTTTATAAGATTTTCTCATAACTTACTTGTCCTTCTAATAAGTCACAATCTCCATCCTTAACTTGTCCATTAATAAAATAAACACCATTTTCAATTTTCTTGGCCCAGCGTGTAAGTCCATTCTTAAAACAAACACAACATGCAAATCTTTCAGATATGTCATCTCAAGTAAAATCCCTAATCTCCACTTTTTCCCCCCAATAAAACAAAATACTGAAAATTCTTAATTACTAATAATGCAAGATTTAAATCCAGTCTGACAAATTAAATCAAAAGACTAATATATATATCACAGATTCCAAAATCTTAACTAACTACATGAACAGTAAAATAAAATTCAATAATGCCCATTTTTTTAAATGTAAATAAAAAGAGCTTCTAATATAAAGCATTGTTAAAGAAAAATAAGCAAATTCAATTTGCTTTCTTCAGTGTGAAAAAAAGAAAAATCATAGACAAAACAAAACCATGATATAAAAATATAAAAAAAGGACCTCAGAAGGGAAGACAAAACTAATGAGAACCAAAAGAAAGACTAAACAGTATAACTACTTACATAACTACATTTTACATATGCTAACGAACAAGTATTAAGTACCTATTACATTTAATATTATGATACTAAAAAATTTCTAACATGGCTAGAATAGTTGAACATCATAAAATAACACAGACAACCAGAATAGCAGGTTGTCCACTCACCAATCACTAAAGAAAGTTCATTTTACCCTGATACCTTTGTAATTTTCTCCAGAGTATAGCTGACAGAAGTTGTAGAAAGTGGGATGTGAATATCAATATGAACTGTACACTCAAGAGAAAGCCATGAGGTAGACAGTCTATTCTGATACTTCCAATCTGCAGGTCTTGGTGAACTCTTCAGCAAAGGAAAAACAAAGTATACTGTAGTTTAGGTCCAATACATACATCAATAAAACACTGTAAAATGTATAACCTTAATAACTCAAATAAACTTGTATCTAGTATATTTGGCCAAAATGATTGATCAAAGGGGACTAGACTAGAACTAAATAAGAAATAAAGCATGTATTAAGTTCAGTAATCTTTAGTAATATATTCTAGGCAACCTGTCTCATTCTCTAAAGGATAAGAAGAACCAGATAGTTCCATGTACAGAATTCCAAAAAGTCCTCTGGATCTTCACTTTTTACCAGTACCCTCAGTAGTGTCAATTCTGAAGAGGCAAGTATGCAGCAAATAATTATTAAGTGATTATTCGGTGCAAAACATTCTTTTTGTTCTATGCTTGATAAAACATTGCAAAGGTATTTTTTCACACTGCTTTTAGAAACTTTTAACAAAATGCTAGCCTAAGTTATGCTGAATACAGGTAGCTTATTTACTGGGCATTACAGCTACCAAAAGTCTTTAGTCATTTTTACTATTAGTTTTTCAAATACAAAAAATGAACTCACAAGCAAGGTAGAACAAGCTTAAAAATATGTTAAATATTTAGAAAACAACTTTTACTTGCCTGTAGTTAAACTAATTTTATTTCAAAAAACTAATTTTATTTCAGGTGACTATAGCATCAATAGAAAGTAAAGGAACTGAAAGTTATTAAAATTAAATAAAAAAGTGAATTTTAATTTAAAAGTAGTTGTAACAGAAAAAATCTTTAGACAGTAAGTTTTCTTACCTTTGGATCACGGACATCGTAAGTTCGACAAGATATTCTTTACTAATTAAGGACAGAAATAACTAAAATAGGAATCTTGATAAACAACAAAATACAAATCATCAAAAAGTATAGAGTTCTTATAAAGCATAATACCTTATATACTTAAAGGTATATAAATAAATGTATAGGTATATGTATGTGCCTCTAGCAGTTTTGATAGTTGAAAAGTATTTTCTTCTGTTTATAAATATTGCTGATCACAATAAACAGAATGGAAGCACTTGTGAAATTTTCCTCAAATATACCCTTCATAACAGGAATGCTACTTTGGATGAAGTCAAACTCACAAATGTACACTGAGTCAAAAGGCTTGTATATAAAATTTTTCAATTAAAAATCAAATAATGAAAAGCTGTCTTCTGCAGGAATGGTCAGTTTTTACATTGTCTTAACAGTTTTCAAATACAATACCTAAATAAAAGATACTTTTTAGTAGAAGAGCAAATGTGAAGAATCACTCGTTCTGAAACTTCCTCCTCTGTGAAATTCCACAGTCTTTTTCTGTCCATACACTTTTCCACAGCATATATTAGCTGAAAGACAGAAATATACATTATTTGAATATACATGCAAAAAAATAGTAAATGTGGAAAAAAACAATTGTAACAACCCTAAGCTACCATTCAGCTTTACAATCTCATAATTCTTTCTCTCTCTCTCTCTTTTTTTTTTTTTGAGATTTGGCCTTGTGTTGTAATTCAGGGTGGCTTCAACTTGCATTGATCTTCCTGCTTCAGTTTCCCCAGTGGGGGTCATAGGCATGTGTTGTTACTATGCCCAGTTTACAATCCCATGATTCTATCATTAACATTTCTCACCTTCAAAATAATATATTAACAGTTTTGGGATTCCATTGGAAGGATTTACATAAAAATGTTTTTTTATTCATATTTTTTAGAGATTAATATGTTTCATTTGGTAGATTCATACTCGAACGTAACATGCTTTGATAATTTTTACCACCTCATCACCCAAAATTGAGTTTTAAACAAAAAATATACATCAATGTCTTTAATGATTAATTTGACATGAAAAATTAATTTTGAGCAATTAGCATCTACATGTAGAAAAGGGACTTTAACCTGGGTGTGGTGGTTGCACACCTGTAATCCTGCACTCAGGAGGCTGAGGCAGGAGGATTGCTGTGTTTGAGGCCAGCCCTGGCCACAAAATGAGTGCAAAGTCAGTCTAAATAGTAAGAACCTTTCTCTAAAAACCAAAATAAAAAAGGGGGACCTTCAATTTGAATGGGAAATGACAAGTGATATGTTGCATTTAGCAATTCCTATTTAAATGTCACAAGAGACAAAATACATAGAATATAAAACTAAATCAATAACAAATTAAAAGTAAAAAAATTTGAATGGTGATAAAAATTTGTATCAGAAATAAAAATTATCAAACGAAAACTGGACATGGGGTGAAAGTGTCATAAACATAGCTTTCAGCTTTCTAACAACAGTATGTAGACAGAAATATAATGTTATGAAATTCACTTTTTTTTTTTTTTTTTTGGTACCAGGGATCAAACTCAAGATCTCATGCTTACCAGGCAGGTACTTATGCCACTGAGCTACATCCCCAGCTAACGAAAGCTTTTAATTATAAAGCTCATGGAAGACATTAACAAGTAAGTTTTATATGATTATGTCTCTCAACATAGGCCAATAGAAACAAAGTTAAACAACTGAAACAACAATTTCTGAGACACAGCATTTATAGTCTCACATTTGTTTTAAAACCAAGTTACAAAACCACAAGGATGAACTTGATTGAACCTCTAGTATCATCCACATTCACTCCATTCAATGCAGCACCAACCACAAAAAGATTTGCAAACCATCCTATGAATATTAAATAGACATGGATTTAAAGTATGTTTTAAACTGTCAAAGATGATGAACAAGGGTAAAAGCAGTAGATTTATTTAAAATGGAAAAGACAGAAGAATGAAAAATTGTATGAAAAGGGAGAATCTGCATTTTCTTCTGTTACTTTCTTCATCACAATATATCAAAGACATGGAATGAGATACCTGATAAGAGATTACAAAACTGAGTTTACAGTATCTGAGATTTTCTTTTTTCTTTTAAACAAAAAAAAGTAAGAAATAAATTAAAAAACAGAATTCTAAATCAGGCTAGTAGGAGAGCAAAAATAATCAAGACATTGTGTATTATTATATTCACAGTAGTTGTTTAGAGTACAAGCTACAGGCAGAAAACATTATCCAGCAAATTACTAGCACAAAACTTTACCCTCAATGGACCAAGTAAAACCAACTATATACTCATTTTAATGGTCAGGTAATACATATACATAAACATATACATATACATACACATACATATATGTATATCTTTTCCTTTTCCCTTCCTTTCTTTCCCTCTTCTCCCTTCAGTGTTTTTTTTTTTTTCCCTTTTCAACAGCTTCTTTCCTATTTAGAGCACCTACTATATATTTTGAATCTTGTTTTCTCTTCTAGATTCTCACACTAGTGAGACAATATGATGTTTACACATGTGGGTCTGGTTTATTTCACTTACAAGTATGGTCTTCAGTCACATCCACTACCTATAAAAGCCTTAAGTTTATCTTTCTTTATGGCTGAGTAGCATTTTATTATATATATTAAAAGATCACATCTTTTTTTAATCTGTTCCTCAGTTGATGGGCATTTGGGTTGTTTCCAAGATTTAACTATTGCAAATTGTGCTGCTATAAATATGGGTACACATACATTGCTGTGGTATGATAATTCTTCTGAAAAGATACCCAGCGGGGAACAGGGGTCAAAAGAACCACTAATCCTAGTTTTTAAAGAAATCTCGATACTGATTTCCACAGTGACTACATCAGTCTACACTTCTACCAATAGTAGACAAGGGTTCCTTTCCCCCACAGCTCCACCAGCATCTGTTATCAGTTGATTTTTTGATGACAGTCATTCTTTCTGGGGTAAGATAGAATCTTGGTGTTGTTTTAATTTGCATTTCTCAAATGACCAATGATGTTGAGTGTTTTCTTATGTATTTATTTATTATTTGTATTTTTTAATCTAAGTGTATATTTATTTCAGATGCCTATTTTTGGATTGGGTCTTTGAATTTGGGGGGAGTCTAATATTTTTCAATTCTTCATAAACCCTAGAGCTTTTGTCTGAGGGATAAGTGGCTATAATTTTTTTCTCATTTTGTAGGCTGTCTTTTCACCTTGTTGGTGATTTCTTTTGTTGTGCAAAAGCTTTTTAATAAGGAGAGATCTCATTTATTGATTCTTTGTTATATCTCCTGTGTGGTCTGGGTTTTGTTCACAAACCCTCTGTCTACACCTCTGTCTTCAAGATTTCTACCCATTTTCTCTTACAGTGTATTTAGTGTTTCTCTTTTAATATTTAGATATCTGATCCATTTTAATTTTAGTTTAGTGCATGGTGATAGACGTGGGTTTAGTTTTAGTCTTCAGCATATGGCAAGTCGGTTTTTCCAGCACCATTTATTAAAGAGCGTATGTTTCTTCCAGTGAACATGTCTGGCTCCCTTGTCGAACATAAGGTGGTTTAGTGAGATTCTAAACTCTACTTTTTCTACTAAAATTTTATTTTTCTCATGTGGAACCTGTGGATTTGGTGCTTCTAAAGAGTACGAAGAACCCCTCTCTACATATGAAATACCCTTGTGAAGGCTCACGGGGATCTTGAGCACTAAAAGAGATGAGCAGTCAAATCTACATCAGGTTTTGGTTTACGAGTAAACAGCTTAGGACATTCAGATTTTTAGAAAAATTTACCCAATTCTCTGACATAAGAATAAAACAAAACCACAGGCAATTCAGGATATATATTCAATCCAAAAATAAAGAATAACTATTCGATTGTTGTTTATATTTTACTCTGAAATCTAAGGAGAACTGAATAGAATAACTTCCCATAACAATCACATGATACTAAATGGAAGATCTTAAAGAAAACTGATACTGCACAAAAACAAAACAAAACAAAACAAACCCTGTTAAACCACAAATTACTTCTTTCATAATATTAAGAATTTATCTTGAAAACAGAATTTCTTTAAAAATATAGAAATACATTCACTTATTACACTCATGATCAGCAACTGGGAAAAGAAAGCTGTTTCAGTGTAATGCTAACATAAACAATTTGGAACACTAATCTAATTATGACTAGGGTCACTGTGTATACAGAAAATGAATTAAGATAACATGTAACTCTGATGAATTTTTAGTTGGATATTGTGGCCCATGTCTGTAATCTTAGCATTCTGGAAGGTTGACATAAGAGGATCATAAATTCAAGCCCAGTCTGGGAAACTTAGTAGCTTAGAAAGATCTTTCTCAAAATAAAATATAAAAGTGCTAAATATATAGATCAGAGTGAAGAACCTGAATTTAGTCCCCAGTTTTAAAAAAAAAATTCTTGATATATCAATCAGACTTACTCTGCGTAGGGCATTTTGAAGGTCATCTGCCAATTCTAAAGTTGTGATAATAAATACTCCAAGAACTAAAAGTCCCCCAGGTAGCATTTTGGATACCTAAACATAAAAATATAGTTTTAGTTACCATAAGTGATACAGTCCTTCTATGAGAAATTAAATACTAAATCGTTATACATCTACCAAGTACCAACTATATACAAAATATCAAGGCAAAGACAGCTGAAAAATTGGTTAAAATAATGAGAAACATGATAACCAAGATGAATGGAGTCTCATTATCTATATAAATCTTCCTACAATGTCCTTAGATTTTTACCTAAAAATCCTAACGTTCTTTAGCTGCACCAGCATATAAGATAAGCCCCTTTCTTATAAAGTTGAAAGACTAAAGTAACTTCTGAAATTTTTTGAGTGGCTTCTCACCACCAGTGAAACGTATTTTATTTCAAGATAAAATGACTACGATAAAATATTTTGTCTTAGATGAAATATTTTATCTTAGAAAGTTTATTTAAGATAAAAGATACATCTTTTATTATACTTGTTTCAGTGTTTCCAGAATCTAGCCAATCCACTGTTTGAAGCCTCATTTGACATCATTTTCTCTGAAACATTCAACTACCAGTACAAAACTATTCACTGTTCTCCTACCCTTTCTAACTCCATTCCTTTACTTCGACTGTTCCTTACCCTGAATTGACTTTTTCTTACACTTCTACAGATTGATTTCTATTGGATATTTCAGAGGCTAATGAACTCCCATCAGAATTGCATGTAGTCTCCCATGGACCTTATCCCACAACCCTTTATTATACATACATACTACCAGTTTGTTCTCCATAATTGGGATTATCCTTTACTCTACTGTGGCTACTTTTTAATGCCACATGGAATTTTCTCCACTATCAGAGATCACAACTCTCTGCCTAGCTATTTGTTACTTAATGTATAAGCAAATAAACACAAAGTTAAGTCTAAAATTGGATAATGCCCTTTAATCTTCACTATACTTATATTTGTGTCTGCTAGAAATTTCATAAATTGTGCTTATCATGGTACCACAAATTTGGTATATTTTCATATTTAGCACAGGAAACCTGCATGTCTTTTCTTTTCTTTTTTTTTTTTTTTTTTTTTTTTTTGTCTTTTTCCTTTTTATCAGTACCGCGGCTCGAACTCACAACTGCCTGCTTGCAAGGCAGGCGCTTATGCTGCTGAGCAATCCCCAGCCCCTTTTTTATTGATTTTTTTTTTTTTTTGGTCTTTTTCCTTTACCTGCATGTCTTTTCAAAATCACCAATATTTAAAATTAAGCATTTCTCTTCTGAGGTAAAATATTAATCTAATTTACTATATAAATTCATTCATATTCTCTATGTGTATATATATAAGTACAGATATACATACATACCATGTAAAAGTTTATAGGAAACCAAAAGTAAAATAAAATAGAAAATTATCTAGTCACTTTCCCTATATTTCCTCTCTTGTAATTTGCTTGGTCACTAAGTCTTCTTGATTTTTGCTCTTTCTCTGAAATCCCTTGGTAATGAACACGCAGCCCACTGTAAGTCTGTTTATTGATATATTCATTTATCTAATATTTTAAAGTTTCTATTATTGTACAAACCATGGAAATATCGTGCCAGGCATTCAGAATGTAGCAATAAAGAAAACACATGTGACTCTTGCCCTCACAAAGTTCAGAATGTAGCTTAAGTCCATTATCTTTCTTTTTTGAATATTCCTGTAAATATGTTTTCTAGTTTGTGTCCAGCCTATTGTCTATATAAACTATTCCAACACATCAAAGTTATCTTCTGGATTACTGGTGAATCAATGACATTAATCTTGTCACAAAATAAGGAGCTCTGAAAGTCTACCATGGAGCTACTGTCTAGCAAATAAACTTCCCTGAAGACTGTACTCAAAAGCCACTTATAAACTGGTCCCTTCCAGTTTTATGTCTAATTACATTCTTCTGCATACTCTGTTTCAACTATACCAATTGTTTGCTAGTCTCCAAACATGCTTTCTTTTTACATCTTTGTGTCATTTATCTATATTGTCTTTGGGATATTCAATGTGTTCTATGGCTTCTTCTTTTGGAAAAGTCCTACTCATTTTTCAAGTTCAGAGCTCTCTATAAAGCTGTTTTGAACCTTGCCTCTGGCAACTACTCAACAAGAATAATTTCTCTGAAATGCTAGTGTAACAACCTAAGAATAAAGTGCTTTTTTTAGTCAAATAACAAACTTAAATATATAATGAGATAAATAAGATTACCTGGAGGGCATGTTCTGTAGCCCATTCTTCATCCAAACTATCCAGCTTAGTTTTAGGATGTTTGAGATTCTCATTTTGTTCCTCTTTGGGTGGTGTTCTTGTGGCAAGAATCACATAATCCTTCTGTGAAGAACTCTTCAAAAACAAATTATAAACACTTATTAGAGTGACGTCTAATTGAGAAAATCAGATTATCTTAGCTCTTTGACATGAAAAACTAGTATTTGTATGGTGGTACCGTGGTTAATGAATGTAATTTGCTTTATGATTACGGGGAAGATAGCATTTGTGTTTTTGTAAGGAAGATAGCCACGGTCATTTCTGTCACTTGATTGGGAGTTTGTGAACAGAATACTTTTGCTTGTGACTTGCATTGTTTGTAAGCAAAAGTGTTCATGAACTGAGGCATTACCAGGTTACTGAGGGAAAGCAATGTTTATTATCTAAAGATAAATAAGGGACCCGGGGATTTAGTTCAGTGTCAATAAGCACCTGTATGGCAATCATGATGTCATGAGTTCAATCTCCAGTACAAAAAGAGAAGGAGGAGGAGGAGGAAGAAGAGGAGGAGGAGGAAGAGGAGAAGGAAGAGGAGGAAAAGAAGAAGGAAGAGGAGGAGGAAGAGGAAGAAGAGAAGGAAGAGGAGGAGGAGGAGGAGGAGAAGGAGGAGAAGAAGAAAGATACACTTGAGATCACTGAACAGCTTAGTTTTACTGTTGTGAAAATTTCCTAAAAAAAGTAAAAATAAAGTTGATAATGCCAATTAGTGTACAATCTTCTTTATATGTATCTCAAATTCCCTAATGACCATTAGCAGCATCTTGGGATAAAAAACATAGGAAGACTATTTCTACAAAAGTTATTTCCAACAGATATACACAAGAAAAGAAGACAGTCCTGTTTAAAGATGTTATTTTTTTGTCATACAATATTTAACTTCGAAAAAAAAAGTAACTGACACTGGACAGTGAGGAACAGGCAAACGAGAGGCAAAATGGAAAGAGATTAAGTTCTAGATTAAAAAGAAAAATCTTGTAGGAAGCTGTAAGAAATAAGAAGCATGAAAAAAAGCTAGAAAGCCTCATATTTTTAGAAACTTATTTGTAAGAATGTGATTTTGCTGAGCTCTAGAAATACAGTAGCCTATATCCAATAAAGTAAATTTGGAAAAGAATCTTTTTATCCTTGATATTTTATCTCTACTGAACACATATTTTTCTAACACTAGTCAATTACACTTTTTAAATAAGGGAGGGACGCTTAAAAAATTGCTAGTGAAAAGATCCCCACATTAGATGCTATATAACCTGAATCAAAAAGTAGTCGAGGGCTGGAATATAGCTCAGTGGTACAGCATTATGCCTAGCACATGTAAGGTCCTGTCTTCACTCCTGAGAACATCTACAATAAAAGTAGTTTCGACCTAACTAATAAAAGGACTTACAGAGTGGTACTACCTAAAGCAAAAGTGTAGATATGCTCTCTGTCTTAGAAGAAATCTGATTTTTGAAAGCTCTGAAAATGAATTTGTCTCTCAGGACTACACTGACATTAACTAAGCTTATGCAGAATGATTTAGAAAACCAAATGTTATGAAGTATATACACAGATAAGTCCTCTTGGCAGTACACATTTTTTTGACAGTGCTGGGGCTTGTGTATGCTAATCAAGTGCTCTATCACTGAGCTACATGTTCAAGTCAGTGCATTCTTTGTAAGTAGGTAAAAGGGAGTTTCAAATTGTATGACACAGTGTCATGGCAATAAGAATAAAATCAAATAAAAAAAGTTATTCATGAAATTTGAAAGTTTTAAGGCATCAACTAAAACACATAGGAATAAAGTTGTCACAATAATAGATTTACAAAGTCTCAAAAGCAAGACGTTGGTCAAGCTCTATAAAAGCAGTATCCAAATATCTTCTCCATTCTGTGTCGATTTTTAAGACCTAAGAAAGGAATAGAACTGTGTAATTTCCAAGTTTACCCCAATCCTTTTCTCTTTCTACTAAATCAACATTTAAAAAAAATTAGGGACTTCCGAGAAAATGGCAGAGTGATGAGCAGCAGAGAAAGAATCTGTCCAAGTTTTAGTGTCCAGATCCTGGAATACAGCAACATGAGGAAGAGATGAGAAGAGGGGTGGGTCCCCTGTTCACAGGAAGGATCTGAACTGAGACTTGAAGCCCGTGGAGAGAGATAATTCAGGAATTTACCAAAAGTAAGAAAACCAGAGACCATGCCCTGCCAGCTGGGGAGAAACAGCAAGGAAGCAATGCAGCACCAAACTCTGCGCACCAGCAGGGGCCCTAGCAGCTGGGAGAAGCAGGAAGGAAGCTGTGTCACCTCCTGTGTGCTGACAGAGGCCCTTTCGGCTGGAGGAAGCAACAAGGAAGCCACGCAGTCTCCCTGTGTGCAGGAGGAGCCCTATAGGTCAGGGAGAAACAGCAAAGGATCTGTTCAGCCTTCTGTGTGCCTTGAGGTCTCCTGGCACTGTCCCTGCTGGGTGGGGCGAAGCAGCAAGACATACAAGCAGCCTCCCTGTGTGCTGGCAGAGGCCCTGTCAGCCAAGGAGAACCACAATGAGACTGTCTCTGCTCTCAGCCCCCTACCCCCATAAGCAACCAGGTATGACACAGGCTGAGATGATAATACCTGAAGTAGGGAAGTAACCTGATATTTACGCTTTTTGGTTGAGTTTGCAGGTTGGGGCTAGTCGTCTAGGCAACTATTTGAAGGCTAATAATATGCAGTATAGCAACGATTGTAGATATCACACTGTCACTGTTTTGTTTTATTTCATCTTACTGTTCCATTTTATTCCCTTTAAAATAATAAAATAAATATCATTATGATAGTATTACAATATGCAACAAAAATATGGTCATCTGATCACTGTTGCTGTAAATCTAAGGTAAGACAAAACAAACTAGAATGTCAATAAAATTGTTAAAACTTTTTCTCATAAAGAACAGAGCAACCTAGAATTAGTAAAGATTATAAGGAAGTACAAAACATTTTGGAAAGAACAAGTTTCATAAGCTGATCAATAAAGTTCTAGTTTTGGAGTTTCTACATTACTTTATAAATTAAAAAATACTTTCACATTGACAAAAGGAATACAATCTGACATGAACAAACCTGAACTAGCTTTTCTCTACTTCAACACATTTCCTCAGTGATGTACCTGAGATTTATTTCTAACTTATATCCTTGTATCTCCCAACATTGAGTTTATTATTAATTAGCATATTTAACTTAGGTAATTTGTTTTATCAATAAATGCACATACCTGTCCTATTAAAAGACCAGAAACAAAAGATTTTCCTGGGAGATTGATGTTTGAAAGATACTGGCCAACAGTCTCATCTACAATGTAGGTTCGTCCCATTGTTGAGAACTGATTCAATATCCTAAATTATGAGAAAAAAATATAAATACTTTTAGTAATGTAATTTTTCAATGAATTTAGCCTAAGAGTAATACAGTGAGGAAAGTGGTGGTATCCTAATACCATGCCAGATCTTGTAGTGATTCCTTACTAAATGGGCTCTCTTTCTTCCAAAGTTCAAATGTAGCTTCAGAATTCTTAACACAATGTTACAGGAAGGACCAATCAACATTCAGACATGAGTCAAATCTGTTTCTCATACTTCAGATAAGGAAGATGATGCTAAATTATAGTAAAAAAACCGGGTGTGATGGCATACTCCTGTAATCCCAGCATTTAGGAGGCTAAGGCAGAAAGATCATTGGCGAGTTTGAGACTAGCCTGGGCTATGAAGTGAGCTCAAGCCTAGCTTGAACTGTATAGCGAGATCCTGTCTCAAAAAGACAAAGAAAACAAAACAAAAACAAAACCAACAACAACAGCAACAAAAAACACCTGATTTTTACTTTAGATAGTCTCCTAGTGGTATTATCTTTGATAATTTATTATTGGAGCCTTTATTTCTAAAATAGTAAAGATGATTCTCTCAACAGTTTTTAAGGAGGTATATAGAATCAAATGCATTTACTTAATAAGCATATATTGTAAAACTATTATTTGCAAGAAATAGTGCCAGGATACCAAAAAAGGCAGAGTTTTGGGCTGGAGATTTAGCTCAGTAACTCAAGTGCCTGTGTGGTAAGCATGACGTAGATTCCTGGTACCAAAAAAAGAAAGAAAGAAAGAAACAAACAAACAAAAGACAGAAAGAAAGAAAGAAATTGTGTCAAGTAGGTTGGCACAAAGACCAATAACTTTCATTCTGACTGAGTAACTTGTAAGTTATGTAAGTAGATAAACAGTAATGCAATAATAACTTTGTATATGGCTTCTATTTTTACAGGTCATTGTTCTAAATACATGTAATAATATTTAATATTTACAAAATCTTTATGAGGTAGGTATTATTTAATCCTCCTTTTCATAGATTTAAGAAATTGTAACAAAAAATAGAGAAATAATTTGGCCTGATGGCAAAGTGGCAAAGATGGACTTTAAATTCAGGTAGTTTGGCTCAAGAATCCAAATTTTTAACTATATGTTCAAGCTCAGCAATTATACACAATCCTTTAAGTCACAACAAAGGGTAGTTCATCTTCTGGTATTTCTTTAGTTTGTGGATGAAAACCAATATGGTACTCTACTGACTTAATGCTCCTATAACTAGAATTTCTACAACTTAAAACCAAAGATACTGAATAAAAGATCTAGACCATAATGAGTGGTAATATCAAGAGGCTCATATACCATGGGAAAAACAAAACTATAAGGGATGATTTATCTTTAAAGAGCTATAAAATGAATATAAATAGAGAGACCATGGAAACACAACTACAATATTTTGAATATCACAATTTAGAGATGAGTCATTCAGGTTCTATAAAGACTTGATTCTTAATTCTGCAATATCAAGTTTACTACAGATATGTTGCAGTGGTATGTCTGATACCAAAAAAATGAACTACCAAAACAAAATGGTTCTGCATCATTCTAAAATTGTAGTATGGAGACTAGACTCAAGTTTGAAAGGGCCTATCTGATCTTACTGCACACTAGCTTCAAAGAACCAATTCAATTTTGTATCAAAATACATAAGCTTTCTTCCCAGCTCATTTGAGATAACAGTAAAAGTGAATTACATTTGCATAACGCCTTATTTTTGAGACAAAATCTTCATTTCTGCATAAATCCTTCATGCCTTCATAAAGTTAAGGACTTTCAACTATTAGTAATGCCTTCAGCCAGGAATGCAGTTCTGCAAATTAACTTGCTTCTACTTTATCATGTTATTCTACTTCTTTTCTTTCGGCCCCTAATAACTTTTGTCTCTTAGAAAAGACAGCAAATGACTCTAATTTTTTTTTTCTTTTTTTGGTATCAGAGATCAAACTCACGACTTCTGAGCTAAATGCCACTGAGCTAAATCCTCGGCCCTCTAATATTATATTTAACCTTCTAAATTCATTTGTTCTGGCGTGTCACTATACTAGCCACCTTACTGTGTAAAGAACTGAATGTAATAGGAAAATGAAAACCTACTAAATTATGAAGTCTGGTTGGAGATAATTTTTTCTTTGGTTCTCTTTAAAAACTTTTAAATGTTGCCAACCACATTTATAAAAGACACTACAAAAACATTTATCTTGCCTTATACAATTATAAATTTCATAAAGTGTGACTTTAGATAACTCAACCTCTCTGGAATCTAAAAAATTATGTGGAACCTGACAGATCTGAAAATTTGTCTAATTTCAGAATTATATTAGTCTAGGTATAGAATATCTGCATTTCCCAAATAGTACATCAAGGGAATGATGATACTGTTGCCATATGATGTAGTACAGTAACATATACTAGCAACCTTAAAGAGAATATATAAAATATTTGGGGGAGACACCTCATGTTCCTTACTGATTTTATTCTACCTTAGTCATCACAAAATAACACAGACGAAATGTTTAAAAAGTTTAGATGTCTTCACATAAACAGATTCAAATGTATAAGCTAGCGAGAAACAAATTTCATTGGAGAACTAAACCACCAATTCACTCAAAGTACATAACTATGATCAATGTTGTGAGGATGACATCAGGAATTCCATATTTTCAATAAAGAATTTAATAAATTCAGAAGAGTAAGCAATGAACTACAGATTGAGTTTCTGAAAACAGTTTTTATAATGGTAATGTGACCAGTGATTTTTAAGAAAGTAAGGCTTTTGTTACAAGATTTCACTTCTAAAAACTTCCAAATAAAACAACTTCTGCAAGTCAACATTCAAACTCCTCCTGGTTTATTTCATCTTTTTCCTAAAAAAAAAAATTCACCGGCATCCTTGAATTCACTGTTGAATAACACAGTGCCCAACACTTCCCCCAAAAGCAGCAGGGTTCGAGGTTTCACGAAATAAGTTCGTCAGAACTGGACTGGACTGCACTGGAGTGACTGACCAGCTGTTTTCAACACTATGTCCCTTCCTTTCTCTGTTGAGACGCTCTCGGAGGCCGAGCGCACTCACAAACCTTGACACACACGCGCGCACACTCCCCCTTAGGCTGATTTACCTGTTTTACAGAATGTGCACGTAGGCAGATAAATCTATTGAGCCGTCAGGAATCCGGGTACATTCAGCCTCTGGGTGCAGACTACCCTTTGGTCAGAATTCACAGCGAAAGAACTCATCACTAAGCGACTCCTTACACCTCATCTCCCAGCACAAACCCTAGTCTCCACAGTCAGGCAGCGCAGGCTGATGACGCAAGAGGTCGCTTCCACCGGCCCCATCACAGCAGCGCCTCTGTCAGAACGTGGTTATCACTCAGCCCCGCTTCTGGGTGCTATTGACAGGGTGGCGGTAGCCCGGAGTTTGCCATCCGGCCCTTCCGGGACCGATGATCTCAAGTGTCTAGAACCCGTCAAAAAAAGACGTCCCATAGCATCCCAGGGTTCAGACGGTATGCCAGTCTAGCCCTTTACGGACCCATGTGAGTTGACAAGTTTTTGGCGCTACTGCGCGGACAGTGATTGTGTAGCCACGCGAGTCAAACCCATGGGCGGAGAGTAAGAAGAACGCAAACGCGCGGGTTTGGTGGACCCAAGAAAATGAGGAAAAAAAGTAATACATTTCCCAGAGGCCTGCGCGGCTTGAAGCGGGTGGGGCAGGAAGTTGACTGCCCTGTGGGGTCTGGGAACTCAGATTCCCAGGGTGCATTGTTTCCCAGGTTGCATTGCTTCCCGCGGTTGCGCTCCCACTTTGGGCCCTGGAGCTGTTGCACGTCAGGCGCCGCGGCTAACGCAGGACTCCATTTCCCAGGATCCCGCCGCGGCAGTCTTCCGCGAACAGGCGCGCGCCAGCCGTCGAGCGAGCTGGTGAAGGCAGCGGCCCAGGTTTTTGGGTGCTGGGTTTAGCCTTTTTTGTACGCTTCTGCGCTGTCGGCCGCTGTCGTCGCACCCCGTCGCTTGGGCGACATGGCGGCTGTGTTGCAGCAGGTCCTGGAGCGTACGGAACTGAACAAGCTGCCCAAGTTGGTCCAGAACAAACTTGAAAAGTTCCTTGCTGATCAGCAGTCCGAAATCGATGGCCTGAAGGGGCGACACGAGAAATTTAAGGTGGAGAGTGGTAAGCGAGAAGCCCTTCGACTCCGATCTCTTATCATCCCTCCTATAGAATGCACTCTACGACGTTTATTGGGTAGCATCACTTTCAGGACTGTGAGCGCCCTAGGCCTTCTTTTTCCTGGTTCTCAAACAGTTTAGTAAAGAGACTGCCCCCGCTTTTCCATACTTTATTGTTTTGTTTTTCCCTTCGTAATTGTGTCTATCTCTTGTAGGGACTCTAAACTTTGTGTACAAAAAGAAAATGTGAAAAATTTGGGTCATTATTCCAAACCTCGCGATCCCATTCTGTTAGCCTGGAGTACCTAATCTGTTTCGTTGGACTTTAAATGACCAGTATTTTCTGCTCTGTATTTTACTCATCTGAATGCATGTCTTTCTCTAATTGGCCACTTAGTGCATTTGCATTTAATGTGTGTGCCACTCTGTGATCCCATTACGAAATAGATTTCACAAAAACGACTTTAGATGCAAGTACACTTCAGTGAACTTGCAGTAAGTAAGTTTAATATGTTGCAATTCCTCTAAAAATGGGAATAGGATAAAAAATAATACCTGCTTGTGATAGTATGCCTTCAAATGAGAAAGTTATAAATGGTAGTGGCCTGAACATCCTTAAAAAATGATTAAGAATGTAATGGTCGCCACTGGTAAAATACAGATTTTTAGACCGACACATACAGCCAGTCTTTCCTTTGGGAAGTTAAATTTTTAGAAAATTTTAATAATTTTATGTTGTCAAATATTTTGACAGGTTGAAACAAACCTTTTAAAGCAGTAAAATGTAAAAAAAAAAAATGTTTTGTTGATGTTGTTTTGTTTGTTTTTTAACAGTATAATAATTTTTAGAAGTCTGCCTTAGCCAGGCATGCTAATGCATGCCTTATAATCCCAGCACTTGGGAGCCTGAGGCAGGAGGCTCAAAATGAGCTCAAGGCCAGCCAGGGCTGCTTGAACTACATAGCAAGTCCTGGACAACTTGAATTACATAGCACTACATAGTGGAACCCTGTCTGAAAAAAAAAAAAAAAAATCTACCTTCAACTAAGCAGTCCACTTACTAATCATTGGGGAAATGTTAAGATTTGTAATATGACATGTTGCTCACTTGAAAAGTATTTATAAAAATCCCTTGTAAGCCTTATTTTCTTTTGTTACATAAATTAGTGGAAATGTGAGCTGATAGCCCTTGTCATTGCTTGATTTATCACAATTCCAGTACTCTGTATAAATTTTAAAGTCAGGGTTATTGGAAGTTAGTAGCAGTTGGACAGTGTATGTGCGTATGTGATTCATCAATTGATTGATTTTTGTCTTCTGTAGAACAACAGTATTTTGAGATAGAGAAAAGGTTATCACATAGTCAGGAGAGACTTGTGAATGAAACCCGTGAGTGCCAAAGTTTGCGACTTGAGCTTGAGAAACTCAGTAAGTATTTTCCTGTATCTTTGTAAGCTTTCTTGGAGTATAGGAACTGCAGATGAAATTATTTTTATTTATGTTATGCTCTGTCTTTTTACTAATTGAATATGTTGTAAGAACGCAGGGGCCTTAAGGGTTAAGAAGCCTGAGTTCTAATAATGACTGGGCTATTAAAAGTGGTTTTGCAGAATGTAAATCGTATCTGTTTGCTCATTTAAAAATGATAACACCCACATGTATATCTGCTTACAGAGTTTTACATATCAAATGAGATGTAACTTTTTGAAAGTATTTTGAAAAAGTTAAAGCGTTATGCAGTTGAACTAAAGTGACAGTGTTTATGTTGAAAAATTACAGCTTGTTGATTCCATTACATTTAACTTTTCTATTAAATATCTGTAAATCATGATATATTTTCTCTTGAAGGCTTCATTCCTGTGAAAATTGGGAGCTCGTTTTCTTTTTATTGTTCTTACATTATGGTACATAAAATATTAAAAATTGTGACATTTCTCAGGAATGTGATCTGTCTTGTGTTTTGTTTATGATGGAACAAATATCAAAAAAGGTCTTAATGAAGTCAGGGAATCTGTGATTGCTTTTAAGAGTAGCATGATTTTAATTTGATTTGATAGAGAAGAAATGTAGGAATTTCATAATCGAAAAATCATTTTAAATTTCAACATCCTCTCATTGAGTATACCTATTGTCTGTTTATTTGGATTATAACTTTTTCCAGCTTTTCTTAGCACATTTATTTTCTGTGTGACAGATCATAAATAGCCGAATCAGGTTTACAATGTGTGTATATTTTTGACATGACAAAACATAATGAAAGGTTTGTGCATGCTGAACAGTTTCAGAAAATGCTTGAGTTTTAAGAAAATGGCTGTAAGGTTTTTTTGTTGTGTTTTGAAATGAAATCTGGGGTAAGAAAAATTCCAGATAAACCTAAACAAAGATCAAATGCCTTCCAGGTATACAGTTATCTTTGTACATTTTATATATAATTTTTGATCTACAAGTCTAGAAAGCAGTGATTAATTTTAAAACAAAACAAAAAATCTACACTAATCTAGCAGGGATTTTTTTTTCCATAATAATGTTGTTGTCTAATAGAAGATTGGAATTACTGCTTGTGTAACAACCCGTGTGTGTGTGTGTGTGTGTGTGTGTGTGTGTTAGTTCTGTATATCTTGTTTATAGAACCTCAGTTTTTTTTGTACAGTACAGGTTTATAGTATAATTTTTGCTGATTGTACTGTACAGTACTATAGCTTTATGTTCTGTTAGACATTACAGTGCTGCATATAAGAGTTAAGCAAATAAAAAGCAAAGTCATCAAGTTGGAATTTCCTTTGACCATTTCTTCTTAATATTGGAATGTACATACTATATACAGTTTCTCAATTAATGACCAATTCATTTAATGACCTAGTTGCAGGAACAGAAGTGGGTTGTTAAACAAGGAGTTTCTGTAGTAAGAATCTATATGCTCATTAAATTGCCAGTACATTATACAGATACATTGTAGTGGAGAAAAACTTTTATCACAATATTCTTTCTTAATTATGTATTTGTCATGTGTGTTTATATGTGTGTGTTTGGAAGGGAAACTGTCAGGGAAGATAATCCATTATTAGTAGGGTTGAGGAATTAGAGGTTCAAGCATAATTTTTTCCATTTTAAAAAAACGGAAAAATTTAAAAAATTTAAAAAATTTTTTCCATGTTAAAGGCTCTCTTCAGAATAATAAACAAATCTGGGACTACAAATCTCTATTACGATTTACTGTGTGCATTTCATGTACTTCAAGATATTTTCTCTCATTGTCTTACTCAGTTTTCTCATTTCTGAATAAGAAACTTACTTTTTAAAAATATATATTAATGTAGAAAATACCATTGAAAAATAAAGGTATAGCTACCTACATAGATTTGTACTACTAATATTGGCTAGAATTACTAAGTTTGATTTTGGACACAATATTATATTTAAAATTGCAGTCTGGAATACAGTAAATTTGGAATGTATTCATAAATTTAGAATCTAACTACAAATGAGGCTTTTCTGGGCTTCAGTGTTGCCCATTTAAAATTATGGGAGGGTTGCAGTTGGATAAAAATACTCATTGAAAGTTTTAAGCATATATATATGTATGGGGGTATTTATAATTCTATGTATGTTAATAAAATTTCCTTATTTAGACAATCAACTGAAGACACTAACTGAGAAAAACAGAGAGCTAGAAATTGCTCAGGATCGCAGCATCACCGTTCAGGTAAAAGTTACTACTATGAATAAAGCTGATCACATATATGACACCAAAGGAGTTTTTCTACTCTTAATTATATTTGTTAGATATTAATCAGTAAAAAGATGGCCTGTTAGGAGATATTGCCATCAAAAACATGCACATACAAATTTCATAATTGAATCTTTACATATTTTATTGAGCTATTGGATGTTCCTTTTATTCAGTAGAAAATACATATTCCTACTATAGTCCATTTTGAATAAGTATTCAAAATCATTTGATGTTAGGGATTTGGATGAATCCACATTCATAAATATCTACTTAGACCACTGACAGGAATAACAGTTTGATGTATCTTCATTTTATCAGATCATAAAGCAGTGAAACTAGAAATCAGTGACCAAAAAAATCCCCCTAGAAATTATGAAAACACATGGAAATTAAAAAGTGGCCTCTTAATCAGTGGATCTCAGAAGAAATCAAGGAAGAAATTAGACATTTCCTAGATTCACACAGTATTGTGTACCGGGATACAATGAAAGCATTCCTAAGAATCTGTAACTCTGATGTCCACATCAGAAAAACAGTGAGTGCAAATAAACTCATGGTCCTAGAAAAACAAGAACAATCTAAATTGCAGCTAGTACAAGGAAAGAAATTACAAAAATTGTAGCAGAAATTGATAGAATTGAGACTAAAAACAATATAAAGAATTGAAGAGTGCATTTTGAAAGAACAAATCTGACAAA